CCATGGTCTATCACAGCGGCCATTAGCCACCGGCTATCACAGCAGCCATTAGCCACCGGCTATCACAGCGGCCATTAGCCACCGGCTATCACAGCAGCCATTAGCCACCGGCTATCACAGCAGCCATTAGCCACCGGCTATCACAGCGACCATTAGCCATGGTCTATCACAGCAGCCATTAGCCACCGGCTATCACAGCAGCCATTAGCCACCGGCTATCACAGCAGCCATTAGCCACCGGCTATCACAGCGGCCATTAGCCACCGGCTATCACAGCGGCCATTAGCCACCGGCTATCACAGCAGCCATTAGCCACCGGCTATCACAGCGACCATTAGCCATGGTCTATCACAGCGGCCATTAGCCACCGGCTATCACAGCAGCCATTAGCCACCGGCTATCACAGCAGCCATTAGCCACCGGCTATCACAGCAGCCATTAGCCACAGGCTATCACAGCGGCCATTAGCCACCGGCTATCACAGCGGCCATTAGCCACCGGCTATCACAGCAGCCATTAGCCACCGGCTATCACTGCGACCATTAGCCACGGGCTGTCACTGCGGCCATTAGCCACGGGCTGTCACAGCGGCCATTAGCCACCGGCTATCACAGCAGCCATTAGCCACCGGCTATCACAGCGACCATTAGCCATGGTCTATCACAGCGGCCATTAGCCACCGGCTATCACAGCAGCCATTAGCCACCGGCTATCACAGCAGCCATTAGCCACCGGCTATCACAGCGGCCATTAGCCACCGGCTATCACAGCGACCATTAGCCATGGTCTATCACAGCGGCCATTAGCCACCGGCTATCACAGCAGCCATTAGCCACCGGCTATCACAGCAGCCATTAGCCACCGGCTATCACAGCGACCATTAGCCACCGGCTATCACAGCGGCCATTAGCCACGGGCTGTCACAGCGGCCATTAGCCACCGGCTATCACAGCAACCATTAGCCACCGGCTATCACAGCGACCATTAGCCATGGGCTATCACAGCGGCCATTAGCCACGGGCTGTCACAGCATTAGCCACCGGCTATCACAGCAGCCATTAGCAGATTTTATACAGTAGCCCAACAAAGCCTTGTTTTTGTTCAGAAAACATGCAAATTGAAACGGATGAACGGGTCCCCCCCTTTGGAATGGGGGTCGTTTGGCTTCTTTGTTAGCCTGCAATGCCCCATACCTGTCTATGTTTCTGAAAGGGGGGTCGTGAGAGGGAATTGTTGGTGAACTGTAAAGTAAAATTTGATATCTTTGAAACAAAAAGCTGAATCCGACTGGGAGGGTTAGTAGTGAACATCACTACAGACGTTTTGGTGCAATTGGTGTAGACAAACGAGGAACTATGTAGTGACAGGTAATTATCACCATCCTTCTAACAAGGGCACACTTCCTGTATTGCAGTTTGTAAAGCTCCTCTCACACCTTGACGATTTAGCCAGGATATGCCTGAGGTATGAAAAACGCTGCCATACGTTGGATAGGTTATTGGTACGTTTTGAAGAAATTATGAGTACGCTGAAACACACTGGCACACATCAACATACGGCAAGTATGTGGAGGTATATAGGTTACATGCAAGTTATCTGATCGTTGTCATACGTTCAGTGTAAGTTACCCATAAGCTGTGTAACTTGATGCGCTGCTGTGTGTTATGCAGAAGTTAGGCTTTTGTTGGACATAAGTTCTGGACTCGTTATGAATACTTGATGCATACGCCAATAATTGAAAGAATGCATAGAAAGTTCAGCGTATGCCGGCGTTTTAAGAGATTCTGGGAAGTCAGGCAGACGCTGGAGAAATCAGCAAGGTGTGACAGGGCCCTAAAGTGCCAGAAAAGAAATGACTGATAAAAATATAAAGTAAAGCATTTCACAACAAAACGATGCAAATGGAGGGGGTTAAAAAAAACACACCTGCTCTTTTCTAAAAGTGTGAGAACGAGTTTGGTTATAACTTTGTTCAATAAGAGGGAAACAGGAGTCCAAACGGCCATAAACTTTACAGCTTCCGATGGTATCGGGTAAATAATGTTTAACAAGCGCCTCCCTTTATATGTAAACACTGCCAGACAGGACACGGTTTCACATCTTTAGTTTACTTTAAAAGGTTTTCTCTTCTGTCTTTCATTATCTTTCAGTAGATTTAGTCTAATTTTCACTTTTCATTCTCTTTATTTTATCCACCACTCAGGTTTTATGTGAAGGTTTGGTTTCTTCTTGGATTTGCTAATTTAACATCATTGGAACCAGGATTCTGAAACAGGTTCAGGAACCAGACTCTGGCTACGTTCACACTGCAGGCCTTGATGCTCAGTTCCGATTTTTTTTTTTGCGAAATCCGATTTTTTTACGTTGCTGTTCATATTTCCAAATATATGCGACTTGTATGTGATCTCCTGTGTGAACTGCAGTCATACAACGCAAGTTTCCCGCATGGCTGTAGAGGACGCAGTGACATCACAGGCCAGCGTGCTCTGTGTTTACAAAGGTAAACATGGACGTTAATGCCGGCGCACATCTAGTGGTCTTTTCCAACCACAAAAAATACTCCTTTTCAATATGTGTAAACATGAATACTGCTCTCCGCATCATCATCCGCCATAGTTGTTGTTTTTCTTGCCACTTCTATATAGATCTATCACTTCATTTTACTCTCATAAGCCATTAATCAGCAAAAGATTTTCACTCATTTTTTTCTTATCAGTGGGAAAATGTATCTGCAGTAGCCGTTTCCACCCATAGAGGGCGACACTGAGACAGTTTTAGGAAAAATTGTGCAGAGTCAAAGAAGGTGACGTAAAAATGTCCCAATTAGACAGTTTATCTACAAAGTAAGGACTAAACCAACTGTTGTTTTTCTTGCCGCTTCTGCGTAACAAGACGCATAATAGTGACCACTGTCGGTTATTAATGACGTTCAGGTCGGATGAATCCATTCTGACACAGTTCGCATTTGAAAAGATCAGATTCGTATCGGATTCAGGACCACAGAGCCAAGGGGCCTGGGTCACATTGGAAAAAATCGGATCTGTGTTGTTCAGACTGCCATGAAGAGATCAGATTCAGGTCGCATCTGGGCCAAAAAATTGGATTTGGGTCACTTCAGGCTGCAGTGAGAACGTAGCCTAAGATCGGTGATCCGTTAGAGCAGGCAACCCCAAAGTGGGTCCTTATTTAGCTGTGCTAAAGCAAAGAAACCTCTAAATCCTGCAGGACAGACTAGCGTTAGAACCAGAGCTGAACATTGACCTCTTTCTCTCAGCTCTGCTTTTATCCAGCTTTTTCTTGCAGCTTCTGTCCAAACAGCAGAAATCAGTTCTTTCGTGTTTATTGGAGTAAATTTTAGTAGAACAGCCGTGTGATGCTGGAGTGTGAACCACCATGTCAGGCTGATGGAGGGTCTTTATTGAATGACAAAGCAGAGCAAGCAGAGCCCACGACTCTCACTGAGCCTAATAATGAGGTAAACCCACACAGGAGCCCTCAGCAAACAGAGGCCTGCAGCACGCTGAACATGGACGGATGAGGTCACTTCTTGCAGACTTCAACACTTTGATCCAACTGTTACTGAAGCATTAATTAAAGTGAATCCTCTTTAAACACCTCACTGCTCTGCTTTCTGCTAAGTCATTGTCTTCTGGGTCTCGGAGGGAATCATCACAGCGTGTTTCCAGTCTTGGATGACATCAGCATCCTTACAGAGCAAATGATCAGGAGTGAAACAAAAACCCAACAGCTACAACCAGGGGTGGATTTAGGAAATATGGGGCCCTAGGCAAAGACAGACAGGGGCCCCTCTGAACTGAGAAGAAAACACATAAACAAGGCCCATTCTCCAGATAGAGAAATGTTAATAGAATAGACATCCATTATCTGTTCTAGGTTGTGTCCCTCTCTTCTTGTCCCTTTTCTTCTTGTTTTCCTCTCTATGTTTTGTACTCAGCTGACTTTTCATGCTGTCTCTAAAGGAATGAAAGATTTTTTCCAAGCACTAAGCTCACTTAGCTGATTGCTCCTTCCTGTGTTTCCAAAAAGGCCAAAGTAAATAACCCAGTCCTTCTTTTCACTGTAGACAAGCCATGATCTGCTTCTCTGTTCTCCATTTTTCATTTGGAGGAAATAATAGCTGCATGAATCATGACAGCAGACAAGATAGAGGAGAGCAGGAGGCGGGGTTACCAATCTACTCGCTCTGGAGAGCAGAGTTCGCTGCTTTTAGATGTTGTCTCCAAAGTCTCCAGTAGCAGAAAAAAGTCTCTAGATTTGGCGCTAGGAGCTTTTTAGAAATCAAAGTGCTAGAGGGGTCTGAAAAGTGGCTAAATATAGCGACTAAAGCGCTAAGTTGGCAACACTGCTCTTTGCATGGTTTGTTTTCAAATGGTTTGCTGCTGTCTGTTTGGACCTTTCTGAACATGTGCAGCAAATGGACTGATCCAATATGGTGGACACTGAGGGGGGGGGCTGAGACACACTTATTATTATCTGATGGCATTTTAGCCAAAGGATTTTTTATCAAACACATAATTAATGTGCAGAAATAAGGAATAGTTGCATTAACCGTACATGTTGACAAAGCCTAATGGTAAATCCCAGCAGGTGTCTCAGTAATCTCCACCTCATGCAGGTGATGTCTGCAGAATCATAAATGGCTTCTGGTGAGATCTGGATCTTCTGGACCTTTTCAAAGTCGTTCATCTTCATCTGACCTGAATCAGGCTGCTATGTGGGGTGGGGTGGGGTGGGGGGGCTACACTGTAAACAAACGCTCCCCCCCCCCCCCCCCCCCCCCCCCCCCCCCCCCCCCCCGCGCCCCCCAGCCCCATTTCTACCGTCCACAAGGTTGAACGTCACAAACAGGCATCATTTCTCCACAGTAATAGAATAAAATCGTTGTTTTGTGACGTTCAGGTGAAACACGGAGAGAACCGTCCACCTCCGTCACAGGTCGGTGTGATGGCCGGCCGGTAACCGGGAAGCTGAGCCCTTACCTGTCCGTACACCTTCGGCATGGCCGCCTGGGCAGCGCTCCGTGGGCTGCGGTGCTCCCGGTGGGCGGCCGGAGCCGCCGCGCCGCTATTCCCCGCGATGAAGCGCTCCTCCGCTCGCAGGGTGAAAAAGCCTGTGTTCTGGGGGCGCGAGTGGCGCTGCTCCGGGGGAAGATGGAGGGTCGATGAGGAGAGTCCTGGAAGCGCCAGGAGCAGGAGGCATAATAAGGGAGAGGACAGCATCTGCTCTGCCTCGGTTATCGCCATGTTTGTGTATGTTTGGCTTCTGATGAGGTGAGACTGAAAGAGCTCCTTCTACTGGCAGTGATGCCAATGGTGCTGCGTTCAGGGGCCGTGGGAATGCCCGGAACTTCTACAACTCACCGCTTCAATTCTGCTCTTTTCACACACAGACTGTTACCAGCAGCTCATACAGGCTGCAGGCCGTAAAATACGACTGAACGCAGAAATAAACAGTAGTTAGTTTTCATTAAATCACACCGACCCATTTAAAGAACATCCTAGACCTCATTATTTAGGATTTTTGTGTTTAAAACGTTTTTCTTTCCCTGCTAATGTTTGAATCATAATGTGACGGACATATAAAGTCCCTAAGAGCATGAATGAATGAACCTCTGGTCTCTATTTATTCACTGGTTGCTGAATGCCCGTTGGTTGTACGGGGTTGAAGTGAAGCCACCGGCCGCCATATTGGTACTCCCTAGTTAAACCGGTTGCAATGTAAACAATCTGTGCGCCACAGCATCGAACAACGATGATGTTCTCATTTTCAGGGGGACTGAAGACATTAAAATAAAGATAAATTAATCACTTTGAAACAGACTGGCTGTTTCATAGCATCAGTAAATTACTTTAACTACATCACATTGCATAGTTATTATAAAGTCAATGAAGTCTATAAAGCATGTAATATAAGCTATTATACAAATCCATCTCAATAAAATTAATGCGGTAATGGAGCAGAATAATACAGATGTGCCCAAATTGACAAATTGATGAGGTACATGTAATATACATGCATCGTTATGGTAATTACATATTACAAGTCAGATAATCCATACTATATACTATATATATATATATATATATATATATATATATATATATATATATATATATATATATATATATATATATATATATATATATATATATATATATATATATATATATATAGTATATATATATATATATATAGTATATATATATATATATATATATATATATATATATATATATATATATATATATATATATATATATATATATAGCTTTTGTTCTGTCAAAATCACATGCAATATATTTCATTACACTATTTCAATTGAGAAATACAATTTCTATTTTCTCTCCTTTCTCTTTTCCAACCTTAGACCCAATGTCAATGGCTAACCCTTCCAGTCGGTCCCAGATAGCCAGACTAATGTTACGCTACAGACTATACTATAGGATCCATCAGCATATGAATTTATTGGTTAGTTCATCCACTGACTGGGAAATTATCTAAGGAACGTTTTCCTGCTGGTTTTTGCAGCCCAATGCTGCACAGGGAGGCATTTTTACTGCATGTCTCCATGGGAGTGGAGAGTACCAACATGGCGGCCGGTGGCTTCACCTTTTTCAGGCAATCAGTAATCCAGTGAATAAATAGAGATCAGTGGAATAAACAGTGGAGCCTCCAGAAATGTTTTATAGTGGGGCCAGATGGGACCAATAAAAATCTTGGTGAGAAACTATCCCACCCCTTTGGAATGGGGGTCGTTTGGCTTCTTTGTTAGCCTGCAGTGCCTCATACCTGTCTATGTCTCTGAAAGGGGGGTCGTTAGAGGGAATTGTTGGCCTGGCTGATTAGGTCCTCTGCTCTGCTGTAAAGGGAATCCAAACGACCCCCATTCCAAAGGGGGGGACCCCTTCATCCGTTTCAGTTTGCATGTTTTCTAAACAAAAACCAGGCTTTGTTGTGCTGCTGGATAAAACCTGGAGCTCAACGCTATTTCTGACATTTTGGATTGAAAAAATCTTCCTGGATGGGAGAGAAACATCTTCAAAGTTGTAAACAAAGTCCAGTGGATTGTTTTTTAACTTTTTTGGAATGACTATGGTCTGGATGACTGAGAATCTTCACCAGGAAATGTTATGACTGAACCATGAATCCAGAAACAAAGATATTCTCTTATAAAGGATGTCTTTTATTTCCACGTGAAATACCGGTGAGGTGAAAGCTTAGGCTTGTAGATAAGTGACTGTAAGATGGAAGAAAGAAAATTCATTCCACCAAAAATCCTTCGTCTTATATTTTTATTAATGTATTTCAGTTTTATCTTGGAAATGTTATTTTTATCACACATCACACATTTTTATCCATGTTAGATAATCATTGTGGAGGTTCGCTCGTGATGTGTTTCTGTAAGTTTTTAAAATCTCTTTTGTCCTAATTTAAAGTATTTAATGTGGTTACTTCTAATAATATTTGATGTTAAATATGTAATGACTGACCAGACTGTTCGTTGCTGCAATGGAGGAAGGTGGATTAATGTCGGCTGGATGTTTTATTTGCTGCTGAATAGTTTTGTTTCACTCTTATAAATAAACACGCCATTTATTGGCTGACTTGGAATAATTGAACTTTTCATTATTACACAGAGGCCGGTTACATGACCATTACAAAAAAGCCTGGCGGTAAAAATTAGAGAGTTTAATAGGAATTTTATGTACATACCAAGAAAAAGGATAAACCTCCAAGTTTCGGATCATATTCCATATAGAAGTTTGAGATTTGAAGAACTGACAAATCCAGTTTATCTCGAAAGTGTTATTTAAGGAAGAGAAAGATAAAGTTTTCAATTCAGTTTATTTCTATAGCGCCAAATTCACATCATGTCATCTCAAGGCACTTTACAGTTCACCAGATCATCCAGTCAGATTGATTCAAAGTTTTCTATCTAAGGAAAACCAGCTGATTGCATCGACTCATTAACTCTTCAGCAATCCCTCACACTAAGCATGCTTGGAGCGACAGTGGAGAGGAAAAACTCCCTTTGAACAGGAAGAAACCTCCAGCAGAACCAGGCTCAGTGTGAGCGGCCATCTGCTGAGGCCCACTGGGGTTCAAGGAGACAGAAGCAGACATAGAAAAAGAAGCATAGATACAAAAGGCAACTGTCAACCAGCTCCGCAGGCGGCCCCGTCCAGGAAACACACAGCCAGGCAGACGAGCTCCGAGCCAGCTCCCATGTCAGAGGATGAAGAGAGCACATCCAGTTAGTCACAGTCAGAGAAACAGGACTACACTGGAAAACAGGCCAAGCTCCAACATCTAGAAACAAAGGTGTTGATGGCAGCAGCACAGCTGATATTTCTCTCCAGGTGGAGTCACAGCCAAACAGGAACAGACCAGATGAAGCTACTATGAGAAAAAGCAGAGAGAGCAGAACGTTAGAGATTGAACTAACAGATTCTGCAGAGTGGGAGAATAGAGATAGAATGAAGCAGAATGATGAAAAAGGGGTCCCTATGTCCTCCAGCAGTCTAAGCCTATAGCAGCAGAACTATAGAGATAGCTCAGGATAACCTGAGCCACTCTAACTAGAAGCGTTATCAAAAAGGAAAGTTTTAAGCCTAGCCTTAAAAGTAGACAGGGTGTCTGCCTCACGGACTAAAACTGGTAGTTGGTTCCACAGGAGAGGAGCCTGATAACTAAAAGACCTGCCTCCCATTCTAGTTTTAGAAATTCTAGGAACCACTAGTGAACCTGCAGATTGAGAGCGAAGTGCTCTGTTAGGAACATAAGGAACAATCAGATCTCTGATATCAGATGGAGCTTGGCCATTTAAGGCTTTATATGTGAGAAGGAGGATTTTAAATTCTCTTCTGGATTTAACAGGAAGCCAATGAAGAGAAGCCAGGATAGGAGAGATATGATCTCTCTTTTTCATTTTCATCAGAACTCTTGCTGCAGCATTTTGGATCAGCTGAAGGCTTTTAACTACAGTTTGTGGACTTCCTGATAGTAAAGAATTACAATAGTCCAGCCTTGAAGTAACAAATGCATGGACAAGTTTCTCAGCATCACCCCTGGACAGGAGATTGCTAATTTTTGCAATATTCCTCAGATGAAAGAAGGAAATTCTAGAAACCTCTTTGATATGGGATTTAAATGACAGGTCCTGATCAAAAACAACACCAAGATTTTTTACTTTATTATCTGAAATCAGTTTAATTCCATCCAAATGAAGTGACTGGCTAATCAGCTTCTTTTTCAGAGACTCTGGTCCAAAGACTATAACTTCTCGTAGTTTAAGATCCCTTACGACCACTTAAGACGGCAAATAGGTCACCAAATATCAGGAAGTAAAGGATCCTTGTTAGGTTTTGGTACAAGCATGGTTAAGCCTTGAGTAAGAGTTGTAGGCAGAGAGAGATTTTTAATGCTTCCATTAAAGACCTCTAATAAAAAAGGGGCAAGTTCATTAGAAAAATGTTAATAGAATTCGGCTCTTAGACCATCAGTCCCACGGGATTAGTTTGTTTTGAGATGTGCAATAGCATCAGGAATTTAACGAACGGCATTTCTCGTCTCGTCAATCTTAGAAATCAGTTTCACTATTAAATTATTCAATAAGGAATCGATTGAGGCTTGACAGAGGTTAGAACGATAGACATTTTCATAAAAAGAACAACATTATTTAGCGACAAGGTCAGGATCATCAGTTGTAAAGTTGTTCATTTTTGGTCTGCTAATAGTTATTAACAGCGTTATGTTTTTCAAGATTGAAAAAATAATGGGTATTTTGTTCTCCTTCTGCCAACCATTTTCTTCTAGATCTATCAAATGCACCTTTACTTTTTTAATGTACATTTCAGCTAATTCTTGTTGTTCTAAGTCACTTAAAATCGAGGGATTTGAATGAGACAGATTGATAATTCTGGAAATTACATAATTTTCTTCTGCTGTAATATTTTTGACCCTATTACTACTAAATATCCTCAAGAATTTGCAAGATTTGAATTTGGAAAGTTCTCAATTTGGATTATAGTGAACATCCACATTAGCTTTAGACCAATACTGATTGAGCAGCGTAGATATTTCTTCACATTGCAGTAAAAAATTGTTCATTTTCCAGTATGAATGTCATAATCCTGTAGCTGATGTTTTTTTTTTCCTCTGCTCCTGCTCACCTGCCTTATTGGCCCTGTGGCTGATTGCTGCCGATCTGATTCACCTGTTCCCTGCAGCTATTTAGGCTGTTTGCTCTCCTGCCATCAGCGTCGGATTATTTAACCTGTGTCAGTGTGAGTTACT